TGGTGATTATACTGACTTTCCGAACGTCATTTTCTGTGCAATCTCCAAAACTTCACTTTACTGGCAGAGCACTGGACTGGCTGTTAGGCTGACAGTGCTGACCATCAGAATGCGTGTTTTATTCGTTTGTCCATCCACACGCCAATAAAAAGTGCTTGTTTTCAACCTGTAAATCATTTTAAATCAATGTCCTCAAAAGCTAATCGTTAAGGTAGAATATTTTTTAAAATCCAGACAGCTGTATAGCAGCTGGTCCGTGTAGAATTGGCCCTCATGTCGCACCCATCCTTTTCGCGTCAGATTCATTGCAGTCATGGTTAGTAATCTTTTTACTCTCAGGCGACTTCTACATCAGCTGATGAAAATGATTGGGGAATCGCAACTCCGCTGAAGGATTTTGCAGGTCAGTCAGCTTTCGAATGGTTCACCCATATTCGATTCTGTTGCAAAATTTTTTCCTTTGCATGATGTAAATCTCAGGAATGCTGAACTGAGTGTTTTCTATGGTTTTTGCTGCAATAAAAATGCCGTTATCAACATGATGGACCCAATAGGTTTTACAATTGAAGTTCAAAAGTTTTCTTAGACGTAGAGGACCTTCTTTGTTTCCACGAGTCAAATATCGTTCTGGGATTACTATTTGCAAGGCAAATGTGTTTTCAACTCACTCCATCTTAATACTGTAACTCCAAATCAGGCTCCACATTGCTTAAAGTCGACAAGCAGAATGTCAAATTGTCCAGAACGGAGAAGAAAACTCTCCCAAAAACATCGTTTTTCGTTGTATATCTAACCTCTAGTGCAACCACAAATGACAAAGTGACCTCTACTGTTAAGTGGAACTTAAGCCTACACGGACCGAAACGATCCTTTTGAAGAAGTCAAGCGTGTGAGTTTCCCACGTCTCGAGTTGGGAAACGGTAGGTGCTCTCTCATATCATCATGCTATTTCCCGATTTTTCCCATGATTCATTATGGGAACGCAGTTTTTATCGCAAGCTGAAAGGGTATTGTTTTATTTTGAACTCGGAAGCGTATATCGTGTATTTTCTTTCTCATATAGTGTTTTAGAACATAAGTGGACAACTTGAGAGTCATGCGCTGGGTACAAAGTGCTTTTGTAGTAGTTGACCCATAGGAAGTTGAGAACGCAGTCTAGCTTTAGCTTCAATTTGGAAGCAAATACACTAGTTCCAGATCTCCAAAGGCTGGTCAAGTCTACAAGCATGATGTCGTTAAGGCATTCATCAGCTAGTACATCATCA